CAACCCAAAGGTCTGAATCTACCAGCTGCTCCATGAAAAAAAAAGATGAGCAATCTCATGAGTGATTTACTGCCTCTGAAATCCCACTGGAGGATCAGCTACGAGTCAGTTCTGACTTGACGGTACATACAACAGCAGCAACATACTGGAATCAGAAGAATGAAATTCAAGTCATGTGTAGGTAAAAACTCAAGGCTTCGAAGAGGTTGCTTTTTATTTAATGCCACTGCAGAAGTATGAAATATGATTTCATAGGCACTGAGGGTAGAGAGCAAACTATAAACAATAATATCTCCAAGGTTCGAGTTTGTATTTAGAAACATGCCCCTAAGTCAAACCATGCTTTTATTGACTATTCTGACCACACATCAACCTGCTCGCAGTTTACACCCCTTTCTCCACCTTTCTGTTGTTAAGTGTAGTTCCTAGTTGAAGGCATATTTTGCATAGAATGGTAGAAGCAAACAAGGATTTCATGCTGGTGCTTCTTGGCTAGCTTTTCTGAGATTCAGTTGTTTTCTAATCAATCATGTTGACAAGAAGAAAAAGAAAAGACACACACACACCAGTGTTACAAAACCTTGTATTAATCATTTCCCTTCACTTTCAATATAACATTGATATGAAATATAGCCATGATTCTTAGTTACATGGGAGGAAATGAGTAATAAATACATCGTAGCAAGTTTAAACCACAAGGGTGTTTCACTGGTAACAACATTTGAAAACTGTACACTTGCAAAGAACAGCATCTTCAAACATTAGTGTATCTGTATATCAGTAAAGCTCTTACATGTAACAAACATGCTATTTCCATGTATGACAAATTTTAAAAATATGCATTGCTTGGCAACAGGAACTAGGCAAAAATAATTCTTTGTTCACTAACTTTATACAGGAAAACAGGACGAAAGGCATGCATGTACAATAGGGATGCCTGCACAGGGCATGCAACTAAAGAAAGCTTTTTTTCTTTTTTTTTTTTTTAAAGTCAGCTTACATTAGGCATAAATACATGAGGGTTATATATTAATAGGGGAGGAAGTCTTCTGTTTGACATTATTAACATTCCTGTTTTCTTCTTATTCCTCCCAGAGGAATACACATTCACCTTTAAGTAAAGATAAAGGAATTACAAAAAAATAAAACTCACTTTGCAAACATCTCTGATGACTTGTAAAAAAAAAAAAATCCACATTAGTGTTGTCAAAGCCCCAGGTGCAAAGGATCACCCTTCCACAGGTCCTCCTTTTAACAGGCACACCTGAGCACCTCAGAGTGCTTTCCCACACCCATGCTGGAGCTGCCTGCTGCAGGCAGACCAAGGAGACCAAGGTCCAGGAGACCAAGGAGATCGGGACCTGCCTTTCCTCCCGTGGCTGTCCTATGCATTCAGTCCAGCCCAGCCCCTTAGCCCAGGGTCTTGGTGGGATAGCCTGACTTTCGCCGGAGAATGCAAACCTTGCACTGGCGGGAGCTACCCAAGGTGCAAAAAACAAAGGGCTTGGTAAAGGCTTCCATTTAGGGGAAAAAAAAAGGCAGTCAATGACACCTCAAAAGAAAACCTGGTTTCCCTCAGTGTCTTTTCAAACAAATGAGAGGGGGACCAGCTGCAGCTCCAATCCTGGGTACCCAGAAGGGACCATCAATACACAGGACTTGAGAACCTGGTGCAAGTAGCCACCTGTCGCAGGCAGGCCCAGCATTGCCCATTTTGCTTGCTGGCTCTCATTTCAAAAAGCAAAACTCAAAAGCATGTGGAAAAGAAAATACATATCAGCAGCAATGTTTCATTTCTTATACACAGTTCATGTGTGTTTTCCTATGTTTCTGGTAAGAAACCACTATGAATAAAAAGCACCAATAAAACATCATACTTGATAACAATATTGTAGAACCTCACTGTCCCTGGGACAATGAAGAGATGCCAAGTACATACGGCTTTAACCAGAACAAGGGAAAAAAGCCACCCCAAAACAAAACCCAAACATGTAGTGAAATAGTTTTTACTCGGTGATTTTGAAATAGTTTACTATTTACTGAATATAAAACAGTTGCATTTTGGGGTGTGTGTGTCAATGTGTAAATACAAAAAAAGGCACTGCCGCTTTACTCCTAAATATCCAACTTCACAGCCTTACGCATGCAACAATTTGCTTCTTTTATAAATAGACTTTTTGTGTGTCTGGGTTTTTAAATTGAGCTATATACCTGCAGTCAACGCAGGACTCAAAACAGGGTGGGGAAAAAGCTTCTAATATTTTTCAGAACTCTCAACTTAAAAAAAAATTAAAACACTAATAGCAAAACATAACTAAGTAGATAAATCTATACACGGTTGATAAAAAATAAGCTTTTCTTTTTTCTTTAAAAAAGAATTATGTTGTCATTAATAACAGACTTTATCATGGTTACCAGCCATAGCAAGTTAATAAGTAACATATCCAAAATAATATCTCTAAGATAACCACTGTTTCTATATTCAGTGAAGGAATAAATAGAAATTCAGATTTGCAAATACTTTAAGGTCTTCTTCCTTTTAAAGGATTCATGCTAATGTGATTGTGTTCACAATCTGGTTTCTGAGCAAAACGAGTCTTTACATGTATACGTGTTCAAGGCGCAGCGGAGCTCAGTCTTCTCATTTCTTGGCAAGTCATGTAATATCGCCAAAAACAATGTTTTTCTCCTCTTTCATATTAACTTTCTTAGCATCTTCAAATCACATCCCCAAACCCTTCTTAGTCTTACCTTTGGCCTTCAATATCTTTGTCTGTTCTTTCTGCCTTACACGTGACCATCTGTCCCAACACTGCCCCCACAGAACACTAAGTGTGTTTAAAAAAGGGGTAGGGAGGAAGAATGGTAATGGCACTTGGTTTTTTTTTTTAAAATAAAAAAGTAAACAAAAACATGCTGCCTCTTTTTGCACATGGATTTGCTTCTTTACAACATCAGCCACCCAAAGACAGGCCTGCTCCCTTTTCGCTTCAATGCATGAAACCATGGGCCCAGGAAAACCTTCTTGGCTGGCTAAAAGGCTCTGCAGGAAAGGTCCTACCTCCTTAGTTTCAAAAGCCTGTCACAACATCCAAGGCTGGGCTGGATGTACATTTTTAATCTTGAAGTATAAGCAAGCTGTTTGGATTTCATTAAGGCCATTTAATCCATACTTCATTAATTTTTTTTAATAACCATAAGCGAGTGCAGTGATTTTCATGGTCTAGTGTCTCCAATTTTGAGTCTAACTTCACCTTTCCCCCCCCTTTTTTAAAAAAAGCATCAGACTCATTTAATAAACAGGCCTTATACTGTCTCCCTGATCTCGCCTCTGGCTCAGCATTCCTGCCATCATTTATACAACCCAATTTTCCAGTACAGAGCACGGCTCCTGTCTGATTTCCTCTAATACCTTCCACTGCATCAAATCCCGAAACGTAGTCTTTCTTGCCCTTAAGAAATGAGGCTATTACTTGGTGGTACCACAGTCTGTTAATCTCTCACTGGCGTGAGGACTAGGTTTTTTTTTTTAAATTTTTTAAATTTTTTTATTCCCTCCCCTCTGTGTAGAAGGGAAGACCAGCATCATCACCACAGCCAATGCTGACTCATTCTGTGTGGACGGAGCTGTTGCCATCACCAAGTTCACCTTTCTCACGTCCTCCTCTTCACTGCCCACCCGGGATGGTGGGACTGAGCCCTAATGACTTCTCCCTCCCTGCACGTTCTGACACTTGCTGACTAACCATTCATACATTCTTGTTCGCTTTTTCTCTCTCTCTTTTGCTTAGCCGTGACCAGTGAAGGAGACGTGGCCGTTGCCCCAGACTCAAATGCCTGAGAGAGAGCACCCCCTATCCGAACAGTATTTGAGCTCATTCTTTGGACAGTTGTCTTTATCAAGGAAAATATCTGCTGCTCCTTTGTCTTTTCCATGAGAACTGAGATCCACCTGGGTGGATGTGGAATGAGGGTAGGAGTGAGAGAGACAGGAAGAAAACTGGGGTAGGGAGGGGATAGGAAGAATAGTCTGCAGGTGAGAAGCAAATCCAGCACAGAAAGGGGCAGTAGGATTCTTTAAGAATCTCTAGGTCACCTGAGAACAAACCTATACCCGACTGTACCCTTGTACAATCCTCTACTCACTCTGTCCCATCCTCGTCCTTCAAACCCACCCACACTCTTGTCTCCCATCTAAAGGTAACAGACACACCACTCAGGCCTACGTGACTGTATCCATCTTCCCAATAAGCAGAGCCTGGCAGCCGCTCTAGCAAATAACCCTGCTGCTATTATAAAAATAGAGGCAACAAATGAATACATCCTTTACAAAAGCAATAGTATGAAGAGATGTTCTACTCAAATGCTTTACACATTATGTACCCTTTTAAAAATGGTTATGTAAACAATACACAAATCAAAGTTTATCTGAAATTTTGTCGGAGGGAATTTTTTTTGCCTTCTTGCCCTTTGTCATGTGGCCCTCTCCTGCGGTTCTGTTTCAAGAGGGCCTCAGGGAGATCCAACCAGCGAGAGAAAGAGAGAGAGAGAGGTGAGCCTCCATCTTGCTTCTGGTCATGTGTAGCTTTCTGTGGCCTGCCTGAGCAACCAGGCTTTCGGAGAAGGATCCCAGGGCATAAGGCTTTTGCCTCCCTCTTATCTCTTGTACTCTCTCATAGTGGTATTATTTTTGTAATTCCATCCAGGGAGTCACGTGTACCCCCACTCTTGGCCTTCCTCTGATTCCCTAGAGACTCCTCCCCACCGCACACACCAAACCATCCCATGACAGAAAGAAATGACAAAATAGCCAATCCCAGGTCTACTGATATGTTTACAAGGACGACCTAACGCTCTCACAAAATCAAAATGGGAGAGAGACCGGGAGAAAAAAAGGCTGCAAAGGATCATGGAGGATTCTCTGCAACCCTGAAGATGGCTGACACTGGACCCGCAGCAGTCGATATCACGGCCAGCGCTGTCCCTCTCACCTCCGGCTTCTAGATTGTGGAGGTCCGGTCAACCCCATCTGGGAGACAAAGAAACACACAATCGGTCAGAGTAATCAAGACAAGCCTGCTCCTGTCCATGTATGATGACACACACTGGGCCTTATGACCTCTGAGGACAGGTAAAGGCTAAAATCATTCGCTCTTTTGTGCATTCATTAACCTATATCTCCATCCCTCTGAGGAGAGGTAAAAGCTAAATAGTTCATTCTTTCATACACATACCCACCCACTTAGCACCTTTGGCAGAGTTCTTTTTGCCAGGAGTTAAACTGAGCCCAGGATCGAGATGAAAAGACCTAATCCTTATTCTTCCAGGAAACTCCAGTCCAAGCAGGACAGAGACACAAGAGCGGTGACACTGTGAATGATAAGTGCTTTAATGCAGATGTGTGTGGAGGAAGCAATGTTTAAGTTGGTCTTGGAAGTCAAGGACAATTTCACAGAGATACACAATGTCTTTTTTCAAATGCTGTTAGGAGAAGAGTTTGTCAGGCCAAGAGTAGATGAGAGAGAGAGAAGATACAGTTTGACATAAGGCATGGAGATGGGTCAACATACAGTGGGGCTAGAGGACACTGAGAACCTAGAGTGAAGGACAGGGGGGATAGAAGAGTGGCAGCTGAAAAGCCAGAGGCTGCAGCAGGCATAGGGTTGGGCTTGTCTCTCTCACATCCCTTTCTTTAATTGGAGACTCTCAACTTGAGTCCCTAATTAACACGTTGCTGCAAATGACGGAAAAAAAAAATCTAAGCACGGTCTCAATTTAAAAGTGTGCGGCAACGTGCAAGGACATGCATGGTGATAGGATCCAAACTGATATAGATATTTTATACTGAGAATTTGACTGGATGTAGGGAGCTCTGGTGGCCTAGTGGCAAGAAGGTGCACTGCAATCCAAAAGGCAGGCAGCTCAGAACCACCATCTGCTCTGCAGAAGAAGGATGGGCAATCTCCTCCCATGGGACTAACTGACTCTGAAAACCTGCTGGAGGGTCAGCTATGGGTCAGTTCTGACTTGACAGTAAAACAACAACAGTAACTACAACAACAACAAGGAGTTCTAGTGGCCTTAAGAAACTGCACTGCAATCCCTAAGGCATGCAGTTCAAATCCATCAGTTGGTTCACCGTAGAAGAATGAGAATATCCATCGCGATGGCAAACAACACCAGCACCACAGAGAAGTCATAGATGGATGCTATGGGTATTTGGAAGTGAGAGACTATATAAATTGGAGAATGCTAAGATCATCCAGAATATATCAAATCTGTGTTATGGGGCAGGGGTAGGGGATTAGAGAAGCCAGGCTGAATAAAAAGAGGAATACACACACATCAGAGATGAGAGGCTATTAGTGAGACAGACAGTGGAGCGGGCTGATAATGGTCTTTTCTGTTTTGAGTATTTGGTTACACATGGGTTCCTACAGTCAGAAGTGGGGGCCCTGTGTAGTACAGACAGGAACCTGGAGATAGAAGAGACACAGATCTTGTTTTTAAATGGTTTCTCTGGAATGGTGCCAGATAAACTGAAGACGGGTGCGGCTAGTGGTAGGAGGGGTCCCTTTAGAAGGCTGCCCCAATGACCCATATCCAAACTGACAAAGGTCTTAACTGGTGAACAGGGCTGGGGGAACGTCAGCCATCTGAAGAGATGGTGATGACTGTGTCCCACGAGCTCAACCAGTCCAGGTGACCACTAAATAAACACCTCCTTGTTTTGCTGATACTCCAAATGTCACCAAGTGTGTCTCAATCCATGATGTCACAACCGTGGCCTTCCAAAAGAAGCATCTGGCTTCAATAGGCATAATTCAAGTGTGACAGACAGACAGTGTTGTAGGCTAAGTTGGAGGCCGAAAGGGGCATTGAAGAACACTGAGTCCAGAGCAGGGACTTTCTGGCCTCCCTGTGATGGTACCAGGCTGCTGACTATGGCGGCAAGGAGTAGGGAGGATATTCTTTTTTCAAACATTTCTATTGAGATTGTATGTCCACATGCAGTTGTAAGAAAGAGCACAGCAATTTTGCTTATATAAGTTGCCCAGTTTCTTCCAATGGCAAATAATATTTTGCAAATGCTACCGATCAGGATGCTGACATTGATACAACACACCCACCTCGTTCAGACTTCCCCAACTGTACTTCTAATCATGTGTGTATCTGTGTGTCTGTGCACATTGAGTCCTATGTTCTGTATAATTTTCAGAGGTGAAGGTATTAAAAGAAAAGCAAAAAGCTTCCGAGAGCTTTTGATTCCAACTTTCCCCCGTCTCTTGCGGGTTTGAGCCTGAATCTTTGAGAGCAATGGTTTTGCAGTGGTGACTGATCGAGAGGAACAGTGAATAAGCAGGCACATACACATGTGTGTCCGGGGGTTCTCTTCTGGTCACTCCGTAGAAAGGCAGTGCACATCCTTTTGAGGACTCACGGCTTTTTATTAATGCTGCCCCTTCATCATCTGTAGAAGTGGGGTGTTGCAAAAATAAATATCTCAACTAGCCCAAGTCTACTCTACATTCACAGTGAACTCCAACTCTCCATCTCATCCTTCAAGATGAGGGAACTCAAATCCAGATGCACTGTTAACACTTATACATGTGCACTGCACAACTCCAGGGGGTGCTGTTCACATGCTGTCATCACAGGTTTGCGTGCTTATTGTGACAAATATTTCTGACAGACGGCAGCATAGTGTCTTAAATTACTTATCCGCTGGCATCTGTCCCTGGCAAGGTCATTTTCTTTAGCACCTGGAAGGGACCAACAAGCAGTGTGGTCACAGTGGGAGGGTTTAATGCCACCGTGACCGGCCAGGCCACCCTGCACTCCATTTGAATTCTCTGTTTAGGAAACTGCTTACACGGCTTCCCACCAGAGGGGATTACTGAGAGAAAACACGGCAACAAAAAGGTTTAGGAGATTAACGAGATGAAACATTAGCAAAAAACATCAGTTTAGAAAGGGTTTCTGTAAAAATAGAAGAACAGGCTAAAAATGAAGTCTTTTCAAAGAAAATTTTCCCTTTTAACAAAGCACATTTGGCATTGTGGCTACTAATAATGATAACATTAGTATTTAGCAGTCTGCTAAGAGCTCCTAACATGCCAACTATCTGAGATCAATCAAGCCCTGGAGGAAAAGGTCCTTTCCCCTTGCTGACTCTCAAAGGCAGGGAAAATCCCAAGTTCCCCACCCTCCAAGCAGCGGGGAAGCTGGGGGAGCCTGACTCAGGACTGAGGGTCTGGGGGCTCCAGCCCTCAGCACTTCGCTGCCAGCATCCAAGCTCTCCGGGTACCAGTTTTTATGACTCCCCATAGCACCTGTTCTAATTTGGTCCCACAGAGGCCCTCATTACCTCTTGAAGGGTTTTTTGTTTGAGACGTAATTCATATACCTTGAATTTCTACCCTTCTAAGCTATACCATTCTGTGGTCTTCAGTGTACTCACAGAAGTGTGCACCCCACCAAAACCCCAAAATCAAAGCAGGGAGTTCAGAGCAATGGACTCCAACTCACGGCCACTGCATGTGCATCAGAGCTACCTGTGCTCCAGGGGGCGGCCAATGGTTGACTGTTTTGGGAAGTACAGTGTCAGGTCTTTCTTCAGAGGTGGACCTCAACCACCAACCTCTTCATTAGCAGCAAGAGCATTAACTGCTCACACCACCTGAGATGCAACCATCACCTTCCTCTAACTGCAGAACATCACCTCAGGAAGGGCAGTCTCTCACGCTCTACTCCCACCTCTACCCTCCCCTGCCCCAACGACCTGGCTGGTAAGGAAGTGACAACTCTGGATATTTCATATAAATGGGATAATATATGGCCTTTTGAGTTTGGCTTCTGTCCCTCACCATGTTTTCAGGGTTCATCCTCGTTACAGCATAGATCATGCCTTCATTCCTGTTTTCCTTCATTCCACTGCATGGCTATACTACGTTTCGCTTATCCATTCAGCAGCTGATGGGCACTTAGGATGTTTCTCATAAATTCTTACGGGGCCATGGCTGTTGCTGACCCAGCCAAAGGTGGAGAACACTAGCTCATGGTACCTCTCTACCAGTTCTACGAGGGAAGGAACAAAGCTGCTGAGCTTCTAGGATTTGGATTGCCAACGGAGAGAGTAACAGTTTGCAGAGCTCCCAGGAAGATCTTCCAACTGAGGATTTGACCAGATCTGGAGCCTGGACAACACAGCCCTGGGGTGCTTCCCTCCCTCCTGCTGTAAATGAGACTTGGCCAGGTGGGGCAAGTAGCTGCTGCCGTGGCCCTCCTTTCTGTTCCATGCAGAGCTGGGTTCAGGATGAGGCTGTGTCTGCAGAGACTCCTAATCCAAGACCTCTGAGGAGAGGACAGAGCTCTCCGGAGCACTAGCTGGTGGCAGAAGTTCTCTCCTCTACCAACGGCACACAGTTTGGTTCTAGTTGCACCAATGATTCATTTATGGGATGGAAAAGGTATCCAAATATGGGAATGAGTGTCAGACAGACTCAGAGGAGGCCTCTCTGGATCTTTCAGAAGCCGGGAGAAAGGGCCGACTCCTGTCCTGCCTGTTAGGCACCCAGGGATGGCCTCAAGAGAGAGGCCTCCTTGACTGTGTGTCGCAGTGGGCTTTCTGATGGGACCTCCTTCAGCTCCTCCTGTGGACTGGGCCCTGCACACCCAGCCCCATCACTGCCATGGACGAGGACACAGCGGGTCTTTGACAGGGTAAGGGATACCCCAGACTGCCTGGGGCTCCAGGCATTACAGAAGCCATTTGGAACTGGGCTATGTAAAAACAAGCAGGGTTTTTTGTTTCAAAATTTCTATTTTTAGCAGAAGTTGGGATGTGCTTGGACCAGATTGGGGCTGCTAGTGCCGAGAGGGAAAGGCTCCGGGGCTGGGGAGGATGGTCCCATTAAAAGCCACGTCATATGTTCCCGGCTCCTGTGGTGCAGCACTTGGCTGGACCGGTTGCCTGGGTGTGAGTCCAGCATTCGCTGGGGTGCGGGGCTTTAGGAAGAGGGACAACTTTGGTGTCCAGGTCTCTGACTCATCTCTCAGGGGTGTGGCGGGGCAGCGGCTGCCTGCACTGCTGCCACCACAGCCTGACGAGGCCACCTGGAGGCCACTCTCTCTCCCTGTCCCCTGCCTACTCCTCTGTGCACCTTTGTCATCCTTGAGCTACTGTAGAATACAGCCAGCAGATGGCTTAGAGGTCTGTCTCCTTGGGGTGCTGGGCAGGGGAGGCAGGCAGGAAGGACACACTCACCTCCCAGGGCGTGTTCGGTCATACTGAGGCACAAGGACTCCAGCCTGTTGTTGATGTCAGGTTCGGTCACTGGAAGCTGGAATTCTGTAGGAGATGAAGGGATACATTGGTGACAGGGACTCTGCGGACAAGGAGAAAGTATGAAAGGTGCTACCTGGCAAGGCTGGAATGCCCCAGGGCCAGCACCTAGGACAAGTGAGGCCCTGCTTCCACCAACCTCTAAGACCTGCTGGGCACACAGAGTCCACTGTGAACATGGGTGACTGGCAGGAAACCGGTGACTAAAAATAACCAGCAGCAGTCATAGTCTGCTGCTCCTCTGCTTACACCTTCCAGCTGCTTCCCACCAGAAGAAAAGCCACACATGTGTCACACCTTTGAGGCTCAACCTGATCTGGACCTGGGCCCATTATCTCTCTGGCCTCTTAAAGCTCACCCTCTGTCTGCCCCAGGGCCTTTGCACTGCTTCCCCTCTGCTTAGAATTCTGGTTCTTGGCTGATACTCTTCCTGTCTTCAAAGTTTCTGACTCTACTGTAGTCTCCTCAGCATATAAAATCATTCCCCATTCTCTGTTTCTCCAGCTTTATTTTCCTTCATGAGTTTCATAAACATCACGCATACACACAACAAACAAACAAAAACAAACTCCAACTCATTGCTGTTGAGGACTGACCATCCACTAGGTTTCCACATCTGTAAACCACATGAGAAGAGGCTGCCCACCTTTCTCCTGCAGAGTTGCTGGTAGATTCAAACCAGCTGAGAGGCACAGTCCACAGAGCTCCCCAAGAGATGTGTATGTGACAGTTCACATCGAATCTTCCCTTCTCCCAGCTGAATATTCACCTCAGCACAGTGGGGATGGGCTCTGCCCTCCTGAGCCTAGAACTGGGCTAGGCCCATTTTGGATTCACCACAAGGAACAGAGGGAGGGGAAGCATAGCTTGGAGAACCTCTGGGTCCAGAACTGTGCCAGGTCCGTTAGGTGTGTTGGCTCCTAAGCTGCCCCCAAAGATCATTTCCCAGATGAGACCCCAAGATCCAAACAACTCACTCAGGTTGGAGAACTAACAAGGAAGAGGACACGTCTGCTCCTACACAGGGTCAGACTCCAAACTCTGCTCTCCCACAAGCAGCATTAGCGCGGATCATGGGTAGGTCACTGTCCATTATCTCAGCCTCCGAGCACTGCAGCTTGAAGGGCAGAGACATCTCCTGGACGGGTGAGGCATGGGGTTAGTTCCTGCTGAGACAACGCTGTACGCGAGTCAACCACAACACCCCAGCCTCCATCTGGGCCTGTACCCCACATCTTCAGGATCTAGTCTCACTCTAGCCGTTGGGAGCCTCTTCTCCATCTTTTGAGGCCTCTCACTCTCAGCACCATTCTTGCCTTCACCCTGCAGAGCCCCCTGGATGTGCCTGACTGGACCAGAAACCGCCGGCAGACAGGACAGAGTCTTCATCATTCTCTAAACCAACACCCAAGTCAGTTCCAGCTCTAAGCAACTGTCCACTGGAGTTCCGAGGCTGGAAGTCTTCAGAGGAGGAAAATGCCCATCCTTCTCCTGTGTAATGGCTGGTGGACTCAAGCCGCCAACCTTATCGACAACCTGAGACATTCAACTCTCTCTGGAGCTCCCACAACAACCAACTACTTACATGTCTACTGAAAGATGGAACATGATGGAGTAAGAAGTAGAGGGAAAGTCTCACAGCTAGGGATTACGAGGAAGGTGTAAACAGGTTGGCACTCTGCTGTTAACTGCAGCACTGGAGCTTTGAGTCCATCCAAAGCATCCATGAAGAAAGATCTGGTTATTTACTTATGAAAAATCAGCTACAGACAACCCTACAGGGCACAGTATGTGTCATGGGGTTGCTGTAAGTCCAAACCAACTCAAGACAGCCAATGGAAAAGAGGAAGGAGAGCTGTGGACAGTCCCCAGAAATCCTGGAGGGAGTGTCCTCAGTGGGATGGGTTCCCAGCACCTGAGGAGTTCTAAGACAATTGCTGCCTTTCGCAGTGATCCTTCACTTCTTTGGGACTTACCTCTTCTACTGGTAACACCTCCCCCCCCCCCATTGCCATTGAATCAGAACCAATTCGGGATGAGATTGCCCATCTTTCTCCCAAGCAGCAACAGGTGGATGGATTCAAACCACCTATCTTTGAGGTGACAGTGCAACTTTTATCCACTAGGCCACCAGAGTCCCCTTCTACCTATAAAGTGGGGCTCCAACTCCAAGTCATTTTCTTATTCCTTGGTCTCTCCACCAGCAGGCATATAAGAAGGTGGGGAGAAAAAGAGAAAAGAGAGGGAGAGAGAAAGAAAGAGAGGAGAGTGAGGATGAGAGTGGGAGAACTAACATAAAAACGCTAGTGAGCTATTCTTAATAAAAATGAGGTTAGTGGTTTGGTGGGATAGGAAATTGAAACCAATGGCTAAACCAAAGTGTTTTCCTTGATTAGCTATACACTTAGATGTCTTTGCAATCTGTGTTCCTATTACAAATGCATTCAAAGGCAGATGTTGTTTCCATTATTTAGACTTCTCAAAGAGAAGACTGGCAAAATGGGTAAATATTAAAAGCACCAGGAAGCAGACAGTGTTCTTTCTGACACAAGCTCCAACACCATCAATGGCTCTGGAATGCGCCAACTCCTGCAGGGACCGAAGCTACACAAGCATCCAGGGCAGCGAGAGAGGGGGCCGCCGAGAGAGGGGCCAGGTCAGATGAGGTTTTTTTTTTCTCTCGTTCTCTTCCCACCAGTTGCTCTCAGAGTTGGGTTGGACAATTAGACAACCCCAAAGGGGAAACGCATGTTAGTATTTTTATCCATTCATGTGAAAATCATATGCATGCAAAAATTAGCAGGCTGCAGGGTGTGAAATCTATAAAATAAAAACACAATTTTATATATAGCCAGTTAGCAAATATGGGGGGGAAAAACCCACCCCCACCCCTCAGCAATTATAGCCGTCCATATGTTCATTGTAAAATGTAGTTTACTCTCTAGCACTCCCCTTTAAACAAACACTGTGGAGAGAACTGGATAAATAAAGATGCTCGACATTTGGAGAGAAGTGTTTCAGCTGCAGGATTTCTTGCCAACGCATAGCAAAATGCCATTTTCCGAGCCCAGGACTGCGTGTTCCAAGAAGGGGGCTGAGAAATGCAGGGCTTTCCGCTCTGGATCTCCAAACCTTAGCGGCTGCTCTTTTCGGTTGGAAGTTGGCTGGCTGGCTTTCCCTCCTCACTCCGCTGTGACGTGGAGCTGTGAAGGTGGGCGCATACCCCCTGCCACCGAGTGTAGTTCTGGAAGATTCTAAAGTCTCGGCAGAAGCACATATGTTCCAACCCCAGAGTTTCCTAATAGTGTGACTTCTTAATTGTGTGTTTGATAAAAACAGATCCATGGCATCTCGCCATGCACACAAGGCGGGAGAGCAGCTGGGTGGGTAACAGCTTCCATCGCAGGCTAGTAGCCCTCAGCCACATGTCACGAGGTGTCCAGAGAGCTCAGGACAGGCCACGGGGGCCTCCTGCCCCACTGGAGCCCAGTCATCACCAATCACCTTCTTGCTTTGACTTCCGCTCAACCTAAGCTAGCATAACTTCCAGGATCACGGCAACACACAAAACATCAGTACAACAAACTGATATATAGCTGCTGATCAGAAGAACAGCCATAGAAAAATACAACCACAATGCTCCTTTGAAGCACAAATTGCTTATTTTGGACAAGTCATCAGGAAAGATCAATCATCAGAAAAGGACACCATGGTTGCCAGACAGTCATCAAACATGAGAGAGATCCTCAATGAGATGGAAGGATATCTTTAGCTAAACAAGGAACTCAAACACAACAATGATTAGGAATAGGGCCTTGAACGGGGCAATGTTTCATTGTTACCCATAAGGTCACTGTTGGAGCTAACTCAGCACCATCTCATCACAGCACTAAAAATCCAAGGATTCAGACCATTTATCCTGGGTCCCTGCTGCTGTAAGCACCCAAGAAGAACACTGCAGAGTCCTCTGTAAGACAATAAGGAAAGGTTCCTCTCTAATTGAGCCTTCTCTGCTCTGGCATAAAGTAGGCCTATTTCTTTCGATCAGATGACATCTCTGAGTTTAAGGAATTCTTTCCATCCTAGGCAGACCCTGAACTCAGGTATGTAGCATTCTAATGGACCCAAGGTAGAATTCCAGTAATGAGCTGGTGTTTCTGAACAGATAAGTCACAATATGAAATGCTGTCATGAAAGGGGTACATCCCACATCCAGGAAGTCCAGCACTGAGGGCAACTGGCACAAGGTTTTGTGTTAGGGCAGGACAGTGTTCCCGGTATACAGCTCTGTGGGGATTCCCAGCCTCCTTCTCTCTGTAGTTTCCCTTCCCCCCTCTTTTCTCTCCTGCTGTGATTTCCCTTTGAAGTTGACTCTGGAGTCCTCTGCTCCTTCATATCAGGTGGTGAGATGCTTCCATCACCTCCCAGCGTGGCGCCTGAGCTGCTCTGAGATCCTCTCAGACTAGACCTGAGGGCAGCTGAGCCTGGGTTAGCAGGAACAGAGCTGCTTCCAAAGTAAATTATCATTCTCCAGATAGTTTCCAAACTAATTTTCCAGTTGGGAAAACACACCCTGCCTTTGCAATGAACATGACTACTTTTGCTCAGACCACACTTATTTCTGAGCTGAAGTCACCACCCTAGTGAGTGAGTGAGACTCCTCCAGGACTCTGGGAGGACAGGTCAGTGTTTTCTCCTCATTCCAGACGCCAGAAACCACCCAGCAGCTCTACTGGGAAGAGAAACTACTAAAGCTGGTCCATGTGGAAAGAAGCTCAAAACTGCTCCTGCAATAGTTTCTAAAAACCTGTGTAGATCCGGAGGAGAGGCTACAACTTCTTGTAAATTTCAGCAAGTTGGTATACTAGGTCTAGCCCCATCTGTTCTATCTTTTTAAGACATTTAAAGTTGTCTATTTTAAAGGAATTAAGTTTATAAAATCAAACCTGCATTATCAAGAGACTATATCATAGTCTTTAAGATTTACTCATAAGGCTAATCATGGGTATTTTGAAGAACTCAGTGGGCCAGCAAGAAAATTCCATGTTGCACTGTCACCACACAGTCTTCTGAGAGTCTAATGCTGGTCAGTCACAGATCTCTACTGCATTGTGCATTCACTCTTACTACTGCTTGTGTAAAGATGAAGCCATTCTCTGTCCATGTGATATGCTCCTTATAATCAAACCCAGGCCAACTCCAGAATAGACCTTGTTACTCTTTAAACTCATGATGAACTTCTCCATAGCATTTCCTAGACTGTAATCTTTTAGAAGCAGGAGTGGCATCCACTTCCTAAACAACATGCCTCCGTTAACTCTATGAACTTTGATAAATGTCAATAGTTGTAGAGGGTCACCACGAGTCATGCTAGACTCGAAGGCAATCAACAACAACAATAACAATCTTTATGGGAGCAGACTGTCCTATCTTTGTCTTGCATAGCAGCTGGTGGGTTCAAACTGCTGACCTTTGGGTTAGTAGATGAGTGTGCTCAACTACTGTGCCACAATGACACCAACTACCCCTGGTCACAATACCCTAAAAGTCTCCATGGCGAATCAGGCTGTGCTGTATTGACAGGAAGGACCCACACACAGAGGAGAAGTGATTGACTGATGTTTAAGAGACAATTCATCATCTGATCCTGGTGGTTAGGGGGACTGTCCCTGGTGGCTGCCTCCCCAGGAAGAAGGGAAGGTTATGACAGTGGCTGACTTTCTGAAGGTTCCTTCCAGTTTGGTGAGAGATCTGGGATGCGGCTGACTCAACTTTTCTAATAAGTCCCAGTGGACACCTGGCACTGTGTTAACAGTATGGGGCAGGATGGAGAAGTGGCTCCTGCCAAGTGTACCCCAGCTTGTTTGCAACCAGGAACCATGGAGTAGCCCTGTCTCTGTGTCTTGGCCATTATTAGAAATGCTGTGGGTCATTAGTGCCTTGTTGGAAATGGCTTTGTGACGCCTGGACAAAAGTCCAATTGAAAAAACAAACTAGAGTCTCAAGGCTCCCAGACTTCTAGATTCAGCCTGCAAAATACTTCAGAGATTTGCAGGCAACTAAGCATTGATGGCTTTGAGTTGTGGCACTGGAGCAGAGTGCTGAATATCCCATGGACTGCCAAAAGAACAAGCAGAGACAACTTGGGAACAGTGGTCCCTGGAAGCAAAGATGGAGAAGCTTTGTTTTTCATACTTTGGACATATAGTTAGGCAAGGCTATTGATTCCTTGGAAAGAGACATTATGCGTGGAAAGACTGAGAGTCAGTGAGGAAAGGAAGACCCCCCCCCACCAATGCAATAGACCAACATGGTGAACTCAGCAATAGGCTCTAGTGTGTCAGAGATGATGAAGCTGGCATCGGAGAGGGCAGGGTTTAGGTCAGCTGTTCACAAGGATGCCATAAGTTGTACTTGACTGGATGGCACCTAAAAACAACAACTACTACTAATATGTTTAGTTCTGGTTTAGATGTCAGTGTAAAGTGTTTAAAGTATACCTGAACAGTTATGGTATTTTCAATTGCTAATTATGCATCTAAAAGATAATACAGAGATTTAGGGGTAAAGATGGTAAATCTTCATGTCACATACTTTGGGCATGTTGTCAGGAGGGCTAAGTTCTTGGAAAAACACATCATGCTAGGAAAAGTGGAATGTGAGAGAGAGAGAGAGACAGACAGACAGAGACACACCTCCTAAACAGGATGGATTGACACAGTGAATGTAACAATGGGTTTGAGCACCATGAAGATCATAAGAATGGCACAAGATAGAGCAAGATTCAGATCTGTGTTTCACTGGGTCACTATGTGTCAAATGACTTGATGATACATAGAAACTATGCAGAAAATGGAAAACAAACTGCTCTAAGTAGCCGCATCTGGTACATGGCACTGGGGGCAGAGAGGAGTGGGCAGCTGGGTGATCCCTTCTCTTTAAATGTCCTGTGTTACGTGACTCTTTAACCATGGGAGCAAGAGGCTTTGTGGATGAGAGTAGATTGATTACGAGTTTACAGAAGCCCCTGCACATGAGCTGACCACTCACCACCACTGTCCAAATTCGGCAGGAAAGAAAAGCGCAGCTGGAGACTCAGGATTAAGAGTCCCCAGAAGGCCTCCTCTAGCCCTCAGATGCGACCTTGCTATTAGAGAGTGGACTTTCCAGGTCAGCTCTCTCCAAATCAAATGGGAATGAAGAGAATGGAGGATTTGGGAATGAGCTACAGGAAAGAAAGTTGGGGGTGGGGTGGGAATTGAGTGCTGACAAGATTATTATAAAGAAGAGCCATCAGCTCTGCCAGGGCTCTCAAGAGCTGGCAAGACAGTGGGGCTGTAGTCAGGGATTGAGGGCTGGCTGGATGCTCATTCAAGGAGGTGAAAGATCTCCTTATCCCAGATGTCAAGTGTCAGCCAGGTTCTCCTTTACTAAATGATACAGAATTATGCAAAACAAACAAACAAACAAACAAACAAACAAACAAACCAAAAAACCGACCCCCTCCCCCAATACAGGACAGGACTATAAGACCCAGAAGGCCTTCACAAACTCCCACATTTTATCAACTCTTTCTTCCCAGGAAGAAAAATAGCTACAAGTGTCAAAATAGGGAAAAACATGAGTTTTAGACAAAAAATGAGCAAATGACATGCATCTAAAAGCCAAAGCACTTTTAACAGGCACCAGGACCTTGTTCCTTCTTCTGTCGTGGTTTAAACATTGAGCAGCTAACAAAACGGGCAGTGGTTTAAACCTACCAGATACTCAGAGAGAGTTTGCTTCCAGAAAGAGATGGAAACCAAGCGAGGCACTTCCCATTCTGCCCTGTAGGGCTGCTTCTGGCTGGAATCAACTTGATGGCAGTGGGTTCGGTTTTGTTTTTGGCTTTCCCATGGCAGCTCCTTTGTCCTCTTCTCTGTCCCAATTTCTTCACCAGTGCCCTGTTATAGCCTGCTCCCCTTCACTCCCCTCAGAGAATTCCAGCCTGACTTCCTGTTTGAAATCTTCCACTGACTCCTCAATGAAAGTGACCAGAGTCTATGCCCCTGGACCTGAATCCAAAATTCTGCATGATCTGACATCCAGACAGTAAGGAGAGTCTCCTCTGTGCTCCTTTAGCAAGAGCCCACCTGAGGACACACAAAGACCCGGACACACCAAGGACCCAGACACGCCTAGGACCCAGACACACCTAGGACCCTGACATGCCTAGGACCCAGACACGCCAAGGACTCAGACACACCAAGGACTCAGACACATCAAGGACCCAGCCAGACACGCCAAGGACTTGGACACGCTTAGGAACCAGAAATACCAGGGACCTGGATATGCCAAGAACCTGAACATGCCAAGAACTTGGACACACCAGGACCCAGACACACCAGGGACCCAGACATGCCTAGGACCCGGACACATCAGGGAACTGTGCATACCTAGGACCCAGACACAGCGATGGCAGCCTTGCTTGCTTCTGTGGTCCCTTGTGCCTGTAACTCCACCCTCCTTCTTTCCATCTCTTCACCATTCCATCCTCTGACACTCAGAGAAGCTCATGAAGCTTCCTTGTCCATGCAAGGACATTGCTCCCTTCTGCACCTAAGAATCAGTGTAGAGGGTTTCTGCTGCCGAGGATGGGTACACTCCTGCATGCACAACACATGCTGAGGGTCATACAGCTAGGAGGATTGTCTACACGACTCTGTATGACTCTTGGAGCCTGGTACACAATCCTGGCTACTCTGATTTAAGAGGCATGGAGGAAGATGAAATTAGTTGAAGTGTGCCCCAAACCACTCTGGCAACCTAGTCTCTAGAGAGTTGTGCTGCTGACTTAAAGATGGCACGTCAGTGGCAGACTGAATCCACCGGGAGTTCCGAGGGAGAACGAGGGACAGTCTCCTCATATGTGATTTACAGCCTCTGAAGACCCATTGCAGGGTTATCTATCAGTTGTTTTCTACTCAACGGCAAAGAGTATTTTTGTTTGAGTGCCAAGGAAGAAACTCCAAAGAGTAGTGGCCACAGAATCAATCCAACTTATGGTGTTCTCAAGATATCAGAGAAATACAGTGCTTCATAAGGTTTCCAATGGTAGATTTTTTCGAAGGCTTTCTTCTGAGGTACCACTGAGGAGACTTGAACACTTAACCTTCTGGTGAGCAGCCAACCATGTTAATTGTTTGCTCCACCTAGGGGTTGCTGATGTGTGCTGAGGGGTTCTTTAATCAAGTAAAGAGAGGACAGCTGGTCCAATAGCCTTCCCATTTGCAAGACAAGCCCAAACCGTAAACATGATGTCTTCTTTCCATCTCTGTCTCAGCAGCAATACACACACACACACATACACACACACACACACACGGAACCCTTTCCTTCCCCCGCCAAAATCCCTGCAGTGATGTCTGCTTTAATAACTCTAGAAATAGGACTAAGTAGCAAAAATATCCCTTGTCAGATTGCACCCAACTCTGGGGCTACATGCGCTGGCTCCCAGCCAACCAGCTACTAGTCATGCTGGCAAGGCACGGTTTAAAAAAGGAAAGGCTTCCATGAGCTCAGGAGAAGGCACAGTGACAGTCAAGGCTAAGCACTTTGCAGCCGGGTTCTCCAGGGCACCTATTTCAGCCTCCGAGTCCCCCTTAGTTTCCTCGAGGGAGGAGTACGAGAGAACTCGGGCCCTGGCCTTACCTGGTTGCTGGAACATCAGCATGTTCTGTGGGGAAGTGTGCACGGGCAGCGAGCGGGTCCTTTGGACTGAGCTGTGGGTTCGGCTTGGCATGCTGTTGCTGCCCCCAGGGTTGGCAAACCAGAGGTTCTAGAGAGAAACACAACAGGCAGCTTTTAGACTACACACCCCTCTACCACCAGGGAGAACCCTCTGCTGCTACCTTGTGGGAAAGGGCTTCTCTCAGGCAGGCACGACTCATGGGCACATTTATAGAGAGGCTTTTCACTTTCTTTTTGCACTTCCTCCCCGCCCCCAGGCTGCTCTCTTTCACTCTCTTCAGAGCTTGCTGAATCTCTCTCTCGTTGCCTTTGCTTTTCCTGTCACTTTGCAAGGAAATGGGGGAGTTCCACAAATGTTTGCAACAAGCACAAACTATTTCAAGGCTCTCATTTGATTTTCTTTTTGAGATTCCAACCATTTACACCAAAGGGAGGGGGAGAATGGAACCTCTCCGCTTTGAGCAAGCGACGAGTACAACTCAGTGGTATGTTGTTACAACATGGTGCTGACTGGGCCCTGGTGGGAGTTAGGGTCAGGGACAGGGGGTATCAAAGTGGGACTTTTCCATCAACCTGCTGCTTCGTGAGCAGTTAATCCTGCAAGGCCTTCCTGGAACCACTGATGAGAACTCAGAGCCTTCAGGCTAACTGTGTGCCTTAGGGCTATTTTGTGTGCCCCCCAAGTTGATGGCACAGGGAGAGTCAGGGAGGGTAGGACAAGTGAGGGGGGTGAGGATCTCAGTTCTGAGGAGGCAGCCTCAAATAGGAGGAAGGAGTTTTGTTCCCTCTCTTCCAGCCACTCCTGGACTCCATCCTGCCCACTCTCCACAGCTAAACTGTGAACAAGTTGCTATTTTGCCACCAACTAAAAGGTCAAAAAAAGTATCCTGTTCCATAATACCTCAGGTTCCTCTGGAAATGAGATTTAGGAGGTGCTGAGGCAGCTGGGGCAGGTCAGCGACTGGGGTTAAAAAAAAAAACCATGCATTTCCTCCTAAAGGCCCCCTAGCATGGAATCCTCGGGTCATCCTAAGCACATCTCTAAGATCTAGGTACAGCCATGGCTCCCAGTGACAACACAGAATCAGGCGTGACCTCTGAGGCAGGTGGACAGTTGTCTCTAAAGCTTGGTCCCCTTTGGAGGCATAATGTTCCTTGGTCCCTCATGTAGTTGTATGGGCTAAGGGAGGTCCTCGAGCTTCTGGCCCTCAACTTGGCTGGCCTTCCCTCGTCCCTCAACAAACCTGTCTTCCTTGTTTCATGATGGTGGGGTTGGCTGCGGTGCTGCGCTGGTTGGAAGTGACGAAGCCACTGGTGCCCAAGAGGCCAAGCCGGGCGGAAGGGATATTCCGAGAGGGGATCTGATACTGGCGTGGGTTCCGTCTGCCCATGCCGCCTCCCACGGAGCCGCCGGCTGGGAGGGAATTGGACTGCCCAAAGCCACGGCTGTGAGAGCGAACAGAGAAAGCATCGTATCAATTAGTTCTCCACCTTCCCAAGTCCCAGGCTCGTGGGGAGTGTCCCATGTGGTCACTCTCATTTTGCCAGATACGAAGCCTATGGAAAGTTCTGTGCCAGGAAGGGACCATGACCAAAACAATAGCTATGACCAGTGAGCATGCATTACGTGTGACCATGGTCATGGGGCTTTTACATTGATTCTTTAATCTCCATGACAACTATATGAATGAAGTAGACACTTGATTCTGTTTGATATCTAAAGACATTAAACACAGACATCCTGACTCAGGGAAGGTCACACAGCGAGCAGGGGACAGTGCCATAATGCGAGTTTAGAAGGTTCTGAAGGCCCTGGCACTAGTTCCAAGGTGCCCCTTGTCCCTCTCTGTGCTGTAGTCAAGACACAGCCCCTGTCCTAAGAGTCCACACAGCAAGAAAACGATAGAGCCAGAACCAGAAGTGGTCCTCTTGCCATGCCACACTCTGTCCATCACAGAACACTTTGACTCTGAGGCCTGTCTATGCTGTCTTCCTCGATCCTGTATGTCCCATACCTAGGTTGGCTTGCAAATGCATGTTGAGCAAAATGAATGGATGGATGAATGAATGAAACAGCTTCTACCCTCATCCTGGGTAACCAATAGGCAGAGCTGTTCCCTTCTCTGGGGCTTTGACCCCTAGGTTGAGAGTGTGCACAGTGAACAGGGATGATGATATTTGCAGGCACTCTGATACCAGGTGACAGTCCCCCCCACCCCCCCAAGCCGTCCTCTCAGAGCTGGCCATGCAGAGGCCCAGCTGGGCCACAGAGATCCTCCTGGGTCCACGTGGGGAGGCCACTGGGGATTCTGGTTGCCACACACTGACGCCTCTGCTCCTGTTTGGTCCAGTGAGCTCAGCTCGGAAGAACTCGTCCTCTCCAGCACATGCATCAGGTTCTGGGAGGTTACACAGCAGCCAGCAGTGTTTTAGGAAGGAGCACATTCTTTCCAAGAAGAGTCAGCTTTAGTCATTCCGCGTTTAAGTCAAAATGCTTTACCTCCAATGGCCACAAGATGGAACAGACTTGCTTTTCCCAGTTACACCAGGGAGGATACCCTGAGGCAGGGCTGACGTAGTTTAACCAGTTGAGGCTAATGAAGAGACTGACAGAACTCTACTTTTCCAAGAAAGAAAGTTGTTTATGCGTATGGGAAGGAGAGGGCATCCACACCATTGGCAGAGTAGATCTCAGATAGTATTTACTTCTCCCTGGATTTTCTAGATGTTCTAAAGAGAGAGGGGGAAAGGATGATGCTGGTTGGTTGCTTACAGCTGATTCCTGGGCCTTTATGTGTCCACTTCCAGCTCCGGAGTCCTGCCCCACGCTGGTCTAAATTTGTGAGAAGGATAACATCCACAGATCTTCATCTCTGTTGATCTCATTCTTTCCTCCCGTTTACCCCCCTTTCCATCTTCCTTCTTGTTAAGGCCTGGGAGCTCTGAAAGGAGGAATTAGGACCAGGAGCAGGAGAGGTTTCTTTACAGAGTAAAGAGCCCTGTGTCGGATGGAGGGTGGTATGAGCTCTGTGACAGGCAAAACAAGGATCAAGTATTGCTAAATTTTTATTTTTTTAAAACTGTGAAATCTAGCTCTTTGGTTTCTTGGAGTTGGAATTTTGGCCACCTGGTGGATGATTCAGTATTTTTGCTAATGCTTTTCCTTATTTAGTACGAGGAGCTTTTCTTAATCCACTTTCCTTTTTGGTTGGATTTGTAAAATGCTGTTTCATATGTAAAAATACAGATAGCAGTGAGTGATGCTGAAAAGATTTGTGCTGCCAGAAAGGCAAGCCTATGTTTGTAAGCAGAGTAATGTGGGCAGAGGATTCAGTTATGAGACTTAGTCACTGGAGAAATGAGGGCTTAAGGTTACTCCCCCAGGACTCAAGGAACTACAATGAACACAGAGAGTAGATTGAAGATCATTTTGTGGTAGGGGAGGGTTGAGAGGGAGAATCGGGGCAGGCCATCTATCTACTAATCATAGGGGGCCTTCTGTGGTGTCTTTAGGTGCAATTACAAAGCCACATACATTTCTTAACAGTTATCACTGCTGGTAACTTGAGTCAACACCTAAGAGGGAAGACTTAATATCACTCATTCATTGGCATTAAGTCAGAACACACTCAGAGCTGACCCTCCAATGGGTTTCTGAGGTTGCACATCACACAGAAGATTGCCCATCTTCCTCCAAAGGAGAAGGTGATGGACTGAGACTCCAGAGAGGCGTGGCCTTTGGATTAGCAGCGCAATACCTTATGGGATACACCAGCAGAGGGCCCCTAAGATTACTTGTTGCTGCTGTGCACCACTGAGTCTGAACTGACCCACAGCTGACCCTCCACGATGACCCTCCACGCTGACTCTCCACAGGGTCTTCATAGGCAATAAGTTACAAGGGAGGAGACTGCTCATATTTCTCCTCCAGAGCAGCTGGTGGATTTGAACAGCATAGAGAAAACAATGCAAAAGAAGTTTTCCTTTCTAATTCTTTTTTTTTTTTTCATTTCTAATTCTTTTGTTCTGCCTGTTTCTCACCTTCTCATAACCATAAACATAACCAATTGATTTCATTATATTTAAATGCACGGAAAGACACTGGTAAAATAACACTAATAAGAGCCAATTAATTTGGGATTTGTGATAATTCAAGCAGGGAGTGGGCTGCATTACCTCTGTATTTATCAGAGAGATAAATTCAAAGAAAAATAATAGTATAAAAAGATTCTAGACGTAATACTTGTTGTTGTTGTTATGTGCCGTCAAGTCGCTTGCGACTCATAGCGAGCCTATGTACAACAGCCCTAAACCCTGTTTTGTCCTGTGCCAATCTCACTGCCTCTGACACATCCATCCCGATTACCCCAGTCACTGAATCAATCCACCTCATAGAGGGTCTTCCCCTCCTGCGCTGTCCCTCCACTCTACCCAGCATGATGTCCCTCTCCAAAGACCTGTCTCTCCTTACAACATGTCCAAAGTATGTCAGACGAAGCCCTAGAATCCTTGCCTCCAAGGAGCAGCCTGGTTAAACCGTTTACAATATGAATCTGTTTGTTTTCTTGGTAGAGTAGAGGGACAGCGCAGGAGGGGAAGACCCTCTATGAGTTGAATTGATTCAGTGACTGGGGTAATCGGGATGGATGTGTCAGAGGCAGTGAGATTGGCACGGGATAGAGCAGGGTTTAGGGCTGTTGTACATAGAGTTGCTAAGAGTCGCAAGCGACTCGACGGCACATAACAACAACAACAAGTATTACCTCTAGAATCTTTTTATACTATTATTTTTCTTTGAATTTATCTCTCTGATAAATACAGAGGTAATGCAGCCCAGTCCCTGCTTGAGAAAAAAAATTTTTCCCCCTCTAAAGCTTTAGCAATATCTGAATGAATATCCACAATCAACGACTAAACTCATTTGTACTTAACCAATTAAAAGAGGTTCATTATGATTCTTACTTAGCCAGCTGTGAACTAGCCCAACTGGAGTCTTTAATGACACTCCAGCAAACTCAAAATAGGACAAATGTGACCAGCAGAGGCAAGGCAGGGGACTTCTGAGAGAAGAAACAAAGAGTTGCCAATGCTTGTCTTCATCTTCAGTCCCTGGCGACTTGTCTCCCATGGATCTGGTGTTGTGGAACGGGTGTGGAGTCTTCTTCACTTGGTTGGGAGAAGTGTTGTTGCTCTTAGAAGACTAGGAGGTTGGGATGGAAGCAGGCTCAGGAAGATGAGGCTGAAGAGCAGAACTTGTCTTTTTTCTGGGCCACCAGAATCCTTAATGGGCTGGGGTCAGCAGGCTGACCACATATAGGATAGGGTTGGCTCAGCATGTTGGGGATAGTGTCCTCACTTCACGAAAGTCGAGCCCCTCAGCTCGAGTGATTCCAGAGATACAGATCATAAGAAGGTCGAAGAAAGCTGAGTGATGCCTGAAGAAGGGCTGGAGGAGCTGGCATTGGCCTGCAGGGTCCAAATGCTGGATCTTTCATTTTACTGGAGTTTACCCCAGAGAAGTTACTTGGGTTCTGATTTTCCTCATCCATGAAATGGGCATACCAAAATATTTCTACCTCACGTGGTTGCTGAAAGGATTACATGAATTCATATTCTCAAAGTGCTTGGCTCCCACTTGGGAAATAAAACCTCATTGCCAGTAGATCTATTCTGACTCACAGTGACCCTGGAGGACAGAGCTGAACTGCATCAAAGGATTTTCAAGGCTATCCACCTTTATGGAAACAGACCACCACATCCTTTGGCGGCAAAGTGGCCGGTGAGCTTAACCTGCCAATGTTTCTGACTCTCCAGTGGGTTTTCATAGGCAGTAATTGCATGAGAGGATTCTGTCCATCCTTCTCTTGTGGAACAGCTGGTGGATTCAAACTGTGTGCCTTTGGGATTGCAACACATCTTCTTACTACTAGGCCACTGAGTTCTTAGCAATTTTAGAGAAATGTTTAATTTTTAAAAATAGCATTATATATAGTGGAATATAATAACACTTTTTAGATTTGATCTTTTAAAAAGATGTTCTATCACTCAAAATGGCCTTTTGAAGAGTTTAAAAAACAATGGAAGCAGGAGTGGCATCCACTTCCTAAATAATATGTCTCTGGAAACTCTATGAACTTTGATAAATGTTGATAGTTGTACAGGGGCTTCAAGCCTTTATTCATACGGTCGCTATGAGTTGTGCTCAATTCGAAGGCAATCAACAACAACAACAACAACAACAACAACTCTTTTTAGATTTGATTTTTAAAAAAGATATGGTATCACTCATAATGGCCTTTGAAGAGTTTAAAAAATGATGATGTCTTGATGCACACTCAGGCAAATAAATGCCAACATTTTAACAACACAGAGCTTCTAGATACGCACTGGGAAATGAATTCAGAACTTTTTAGGTGGATGTGAGAAAATGTTATTTATCTGCTCATGTTTAAAAATGCAAAGCAGAGGGCTGATCATTCAAGGTGTTTACTTTATGGCCCCCTTAACCTCCCAGCAAGTCCTTGACATCCTTCAAGGCTTTAACTCACTCTCTCTTTCCCAGCCCTCCCTCCAATTTTTGCTGCTATTCACCTTCAATATGCAATTAAATCCCTCCATTTAAAACCATATTAAGGTAATGGGTTCTAAAGTACAACTGGGCTTATTTTTAACTGCAGCCAAGAAGCTGAAGTACTATGAAAAATCAAGAATCGTCCCACTCCACTATTAGACTACAGCTCAGACCAAAATAGACTAGCAGTGGGTTCTTCACCCTGCCACCAACTATAATTAGGTTGTCTGCAGCTATAAGGGAGGGAAAAATATTACAATACCACTTCAGGTGCTCCTAGAACAGCTCGTTTTGGGTCCTGGCTGAGCCCCTTCTTGCAGGTAAGCCCCTAAAGGTTTTGGCAGGATATCTTAAACCGTACTCCCCACCCCCACCACACGCATACTCATTCGGATTAATACTGTCATTCTGAGAACCTAAAATGAGCTACAGAAGATCAAACTCAGCTCTTCCTTTGGGAACATGATCTCTCTGCAGCCTTTTCCCAAAGCCACCTTCTTAAGGAACGCACTTTGGACTTGGCCACCACGCGTTCTGGGAAAGGAGGAATGGCATCCTGCCTTATTCCTGTCCTGGGAACTGAGGCTGGCCAAAGAGGCACTGAGGTACCACTGTGCATTACCAAAGAATGAAATCCCAACATACTTTCTTGGCTGGCGATATCCTGTTATGTCTAGAAGGGTTTTCCGAGGGAAAGACCGAAAGAGCTTCTGCACCTGCTGTTTCCATGACAACAATCTTTTTTTCTGTGTCTCTGTAAATGCCTGCAAAAACAAACACGACTTTTTAATGGGTGACACAGGCTGGCATCAGGGGAAGAAACGTGCAATTAATATGGGGAAACACTAGAGTCTCTGCAGTTGCCTTTTCTTCACCTGTCCCCAATTGGATCCAAATAACAGTGAGTTTGATTTTAGAGCTATTTGGACTGAAAAAATTCAAGTTATCTGACATTAGAGGCACCTATTTCCAGGAGGGACCAGTCCATGGAGAAGGATATCATGCTTGGAAGGGTAGAGGGTCAGCGCAGGAGAGGAAGACCCTGGATGAGATGTGTTGACACAGTGGGTGTGGCATGGGGTTCCGGTGTGTCAGAGATGGTGAGTTTGGCTCAGGAGAAGGCAGGATTTAGAGCCATTGTTCAAAGGTCAATATGATTCATAATCGACTCAATGGCACACAACAACAACAACAACAGTAAGGTACATGCATAAGCTTTGTGCAAACCTTGCTTCAGGACTGTATTTTGGCAGATCTCACCTTCCTCTCTCTCCCAACACCACTGTGGACTCTACTTATTAAAGAAGAATGAATCACAAAATTGATTGGTGAACACTCTGGTGTGTGCAAGGCCCCTGCATTTTCATAATCAATGACAATGCTAAACCGCTCCAAAAATCAATCTGCTTGATGGTGAGTGGTCGCCCCAGAGGGGTTTGCAGGGCCTCTGAGAATGATGTCTATTCTCTGAGTTTTAGGGCTTGGCCGAGAAATTTCTAATTAAGGGACCCCATGGCGGTCTGTAGAGAGGTGTGCAGCCAATCCAAAAGGCAGTGCCTCTCCAGTGGTTCAAATTCTCCAATGACTCTTTGAGAAAGATATAGGCACCCCCCCCTTGCTATTTACAGCCTTGGGAACACTATATAGAGGGGCAGCTATAAACTGGTTCCCACTGGACAGCATGGTGATGTCATACAAGACCCCTGGACTTTGTCCAACATACAGGAAAACGGACAGATTTGATGCCCTCAAGTCTTTTCTAGTCAAAATGGGTGTGTAAGGATGCCTTGCCTAAACCCAGAACCCAGTACTGTCCAGGCAATTTCTACTCATTATCAGCCATATGGGACAACCCCATGCTCCACTGGGTTTCCACAGCTGCAGTCTTTTTGGGAATAGATTGTATGTTTTTCTCTTGCAGAGCAGCTGGTGGGTTTGAACTGTTGACCTTTTGGTTAGGAGCTGAGCACTAATGGCACCACCCGTGCTTCTTATATTTGTCAAATGCCCTGTAACATACTCTTCTCTATAATGGGTGCACTTTAGTGTGTGGCCTTTATGCTTACTATACAGCTCAGGAAGGACTTTATGTGGGTTATGAGTTCCCAAGGCAGGGACTTTCAAATTCCTGACCTATCCGACTTATTCAGACTCTATCAGTTCATGTGACTCATTTTTGACTCACAATGATTCCATGGGCATCAAAGTGGAACTATGTTCCACAGAATTTTCAGTGACTAAATTTTTGGAAGTAGATGGCCAGGCAATTCTTTCTCTGAGTGGACTTGAACCATCAACCTTTCAGTTAATAGTTGAGCATGTCAACTATTTACACAGCCCAGGGGCTCCAGATTTACCCACAGAGAGTGTTATTAATTCAAAAGACTGGATATGTTTCGGGGAATTCTGTTTTTAGCAAGTGCCTTGTGTTTCTGATGTAGAACAGAGGCCTGAGGTGTTTCAGGCGGTGAGAACGGCACACACAATATATGGCTCCTCTGTCAAGTGCCTACTACTATATGGTACACACGTGGTGAAAAATGCATCGAATCTGACAAATTACCTTCATTTATGCATTTAAAAATTGTTGAACTGGCAAAGGTTTTCTAATATGTAATTATGTAACAACAAAAAGAAATAAAAACATTCCTGATTACCACTAGTAACAAGCATGGGATAACACACACAAGTAGTTGGATCAATGAGGCATAAAATCTTGTAAGTAATAATAAACAGATTATATGGCCATTTCCCATAAAGGCAACGAATTCCTTAAACATAGAAAAAAAAATACAAGCTTAATTTTCTCCTGATGACTATCTAAGGGCCTAACCATGGAAGGCTTTACGTCTTTCCTAGTCAAGTAGGGTGTGTAGGGATATTCTGCCTGAACCCCAAGCCTAGTGCTGTTGAGGTAATTTAAGTGCTGGGTTGTTAGCCAAAAAGGCGCTAGTTCAAATCCACCCGCTGCTCTGCAAGAGAAGAATGTACAATCCACTCCCATAAAGATTATGGGCTTACAAACCCCATAAGGGTAGTTCTCTGTCCCACAGGGCTGACATGAGTTGTGCGAGCAAAACCAAAAGGACGTTCATCATATTGTAGAAAAGTGAATAAACGGTGCAACTCTTTCCTTTGGGGTGACCTTTGTTAGACCCCTTTAAGATATTCAAAGAAAGATGCCCAGCCTGGGACTTGGCCACATCAGGTGTGGTGGGATTTCTGTCACCAGTCCCCTCTGTGGTTGCTCCAAGTATACTTCAGATGTTCAGTTTGTGTTCAGCCCTAACACCACGAGTATCTCTGAAAACTTGTGGCAAAGGCCAGCATTTCTATTAGACTAAGAAAGAAAGTGAGGTTAACTGAGTCAACTCTTGATAGGTTTATTCAGCCAAAGATTGATGGGGACAAAATGCAGGCCTGGTCAAGATCACCTGGGGAGGAGAGTCGGACCAGACTCCCCATACATCTAAGTGCAAATTTCCTGTCTCTCAGTTCCTCCTAAAATTGAGGGGAATAGTGTTAAGGATTAAATAAGGTAACATAGGGAAAGTAGTCAGAATACTTAGTGAATGTTTGGATCTTAGGAATATCTTATTATGTGTTGTTGTTGTTGTTATGTGCCGTTGAGTCACCTGCAACTCATAGTGACCCTATGTGCAACAGCCCTAAAGCCTGCTCTTTCCTTTGCCAATCTCACTGTCTCTGACACACCTACCCCCATTACCCCAGTCACTGAATCAATTAATCTAATCGAGGGTCTTCCTCTCTTGAATTATCCCTTCATCTTCCCAAGCATGACGTCCCTCTTCAAGGATTGATCCCTCCTTGCAACATGTCCAGAGTATGTCAGATTAAGCTTCAGAATCCTTGCCTCCAAGGAGCAGCCTGGCCTCACACCTCTCCAGGACAAACCTGTTCATTTTCTTAGCAGTCCATGGTAGATTCAATACTCTTTTCCAACACCACAGCTCAAAGGCATCAATTCTCCTTCTAACCTCCCTAGTCATAGTCCAGGTCCCTGACGCATACCAAGTGATTGCAAAGATCATGGCCTGTATCAGGAACACCTTAGTCTCCAGACTGATATCGTTGTTCTTCAGTACTTTAGAGGGGTCTCTAATCAGCTTTTTAAAAAAATCAACAGCATGAAAGTTGGCAAGGGAGAGGAAAAGTAAATAATTTCACATGTTTTTAATTTAACTCTTATGAAGATCATATGCAGGTATTTATGTTTTATAGGGAAGGAGATTTAGGGTCAGCAGACATAAACAATGAAAGGAAGTCTCTGAGATTAGAATCCACTCTATCCCTCTCCACAGGCCACATTCATTAAATGATAAACCTATCCTCGAGAAGCTCAGAGGTTTAAACCCCTGAGTACTTAACTGCTGCACCACTAGGGCTCTTCTTCATGGTAAAAAGAGAGCAAATGTCTCTGTCTCCGTGTTGACAGAGCAAACATCCATTTGGTGTAACACACTAGAAGGAACTGGCTCGAAGCTGACTGGTCAGTAAGTTTTAGAGGTCTAAATAATGTAAGAGGCGATTGCTCATCTTTCTCCCAAGGAGCAGTTGGTAGATTTGAACCATGTACCTTTCGGTCAGCAGCTCAACTCTCTTTTCACTAGGTAAACATCTATTTAGTACAATTAAGTCATATTCTGGAGACACGCATTATATTGGGAAGCTATATTACTGATTATTTCACTACCAGCAGGGTTACCCATGGTAGACAGTTTCTAAAGGAGATCAAGAAAGAGTAGGAAGAAAGGCCTTGAAATGTACTTGGATATACATTGACATTTATCCAGTGACATCCCTGTGGATCACAACAGAATATTATTATTTACTTATTCTATATACTGAGTGTTGTAAGATGCAGCACTCAAACTGCACAGCGGTAACAACAATGGACTCAAGCATGCCATGGGTCATCAAGATGGTACAGGAAAAGGGGCAAAGTTTCAGAACCACAAGAAGTTGTTGAGAACAGGAGGTTCTAGCATAGGCAAAGATGAGTACAATTATAAAGAACCTAAGTCTAAGTAAGAGAGTGCTCTGGTGCTGTAATCCACAGCAAGCTGCACTGCGCACTGAAGGCTTAGTGGCTCCAGCAGTTGGAATTCATCAGTGCTTTAGTGAGAAAGATGGGAAGTCTTCCACCTATTGTGACTTACGGGCTTGGCAACCAATGGAGGGCTGCCATGAGTTTGAACCAACTTGATGGCAGTGAGGTGTTAGTCTAAGTAGTGTTAAGGCTACTTTTAAGAAAAACACAAAAGTCTGATTGGTTTACAGCTTTTCAGATGCTACTTATGGATGTTCCAATAAATTTTTCCTGATTGCACATACGAGCCCTTTAGTGACTGCACTGTTGCTGTATACCATAGAGTCAGAACCAACCCATAGCTGGTCCTCCAATCGGTTTTCAGAGGCAGTTAATCGTAAGGAAGGAGATTACTCATTCTTCTCCAGTAGAGCAGCTGGTGGCCTCAAACCACATGCCTTCGGGATGACAGTGCAACTTCTTGCTACTAGGCCACCAGAGCTCCCTAATGATGGTATACAGATAGTTAACACATCTGGGAATCAAAATGACCTTTAGCATCAACAATAGCATAAAACAAATTACTTCAAGTCTCAAGACTATGAGCTTGTCTGCTCCAGCCAAAGGACAAGTAGCCTGATTTTCGAAAGATAAAGGAGAAAATGGTTCACTTTCTAGATGGGCATTAAAATGTGCTTCTAACGGTACCATTTC